AAATTAAATTGTTTCATTAGAAAAGACCTGAAAAAATGTGTTTTCTTTTGGAAAGTAAGGCCTATGTTTTTAAAACAGCACATTAATTAAAAACGAAAAGGAGAATCAGGAGGGGGCTGGCAAAGCATGATCATACCTAATATGGTCATCAGCACCAGTACAGTCCTGATGACATTCTTTATGGGGTGCAACCCAGCCGACAGGAAATTTGAGAGACATGGGAGGTCGCCTAATATGGTGATGGTGGGGGGGGCGAAGGGACATAGACTCTGATTGGTTCATGATTTGAATTTCTGCCTCCCCTGATGTCCAATCATGTCGGTTTCTCTTTGGACGAGCTTGTAGTTTTAATTCTAGCCTGTCCCCATGTGTGTATGCATGCCTGTGTGTGTGTGTGTGTGTGTGTGTGTGTGTGTGTGTGTGTGTGTGTGAGAGAGAGTTTTTCAGATGGTAGGAGACAGGGAGGTAAGGAATGTGTATTGCTAGTTTATAGCTGAACCACTGACTGGACCAGGGACACCTGACAACCGCTGGCGTAGTCGCACAAACAGAACCCTGCAAAACCGATCAGCACCATGGAGACCACATAAGAATCCCATTCAGTTTCTGACATCATGACACGTACATTGTTTACATTGGTTTACTGTAATTGAGCTTTTGGCTCATGCAGTGAGGGCGAGCATGAAAATATCACAGCAGTGTGAACAAAGGTTTCCTGAGGAAATGAGGAAAGGGAGTGTGTGAGTATGTGAGTGTGTGTGCGCGCGCGCATGTGAACTTGTGACACTGATTTACTACAGTTGAACGATGTAGTTGGACACTCTTTTCTAGTCTGTGTTTCTGGACTGGGGAAGTGCCTATCTTGGATGGCTCAGGTTCAGACATCCAGTCTGTTGTTGGCGGCTTATGGAAAATCACCATCTTTGCCAGGCAGCTTGCCAAGGGCTGCCTGCCGCCTCCCTAACCCCCACCCCTCCTCCACCCCCACCAGTGGTGGCCTGTAGGGCTGGGTTTAGCTGCAATTACATTTGATAAGATCTCATCAAGGGAGCGTCATTAAAAATATGGAGGTTTTGGTTCCAAGTTTGGCTGCTCGGCACAGATGCTTTACTCAGCAGTCTGCACAGTCACCCCACGTGGAGTCAACATCTGAATACCACTCTCATTTGATCTGATATAGGTCGGGTTTTTTCTCTTCCCCTAAAAGCTGGATTATTTGATTCCTCATTGGAAGAAGGAAATGATATTGCTTATCAGGAATCACATTTTACCGCTTTTTACCCATTTCACCAGATGTACATCATAATGTAATGGGTTCTTCCATGGCCAATGCTCCATCCCTCCAATAAGTTGGCGCTAATCGAAATACTCTACTGTGATCCTACAGACAAACAAATTATAGCCTCCCTGGTGGAGTAGAATGGTAGGATATTTGCACTGAGATCAGAACTGATGGAATTAAGTCACCAGGATAATGAACCCAATGATATCACATTCATATTGCCCAACAATGGCTTTTGGTCCATATGTACAGGAGAATGGCCTGTATTGAAATCTGTGAGGGCAACAGTCATTTCCATGATAGTTTGAATATTTGCGGTTTCAGCTGCCAGGTGATGACAGTTATGGGAACCATCTACTAGGAAAAACCCAAGATTACCCAAAATATTCACACTTTCTTTATTCAAAGCATTACTTTATTTATTATAGTATATGCCTACTTAATAATAAAACTGCATTGATTGCAATTATTCGGTAGTGGAAAAGTATTATTATTTTTTATCTCAAGTGGATTATTGAATATCTGTTTATTTTGGATGTGAAGGTTTCTTCACAAAAAGTGAACTTTCCATTGTGAAAACGTTGGCAAAGCAAACACTTTGTTTTCAGTAGACGTCGGAACTGATGTGGTACAGAGTTCGAACATAGAACATAGCAGGCAGTGACAACGCACCCGTCTCCATGTGGAAAAAAGTGTCAGAC